ACTAAAAACCTCTCCCTATTTATATGTACAAAAAATATATTATACTGTAGCTTCAGTGTTAGCTAATACCCAAGGGGAAACCATAATTACTAATTATACTATAATAGAATCGAGTTACAAAGGATATACATTTCATGAAATGAAGAAAATTATTGGCTGCCAATTTGAATTGGACACTTGGGGTCCCCAGCCTTATTTACTGTTACTCTTAATATAAACAATCCCCCAGCAGATATAGGATTTTCCCTAGATGCTACAGACCATAACAATAGTCATTGAGAAAATTTGTCTGGACTGCCTCCATGTGAGTTGCCTACCCTAGCAAGCTCTGTTGACACCAAGCTCTGAGGTCGGTACCTCAGCCTCACAAGTGGCTTATAGGACAGATTTCCATAAATGACTGATGTTGCAAGAAATCTCGCCTGCATGCACGTATAAAGGACTAACTTACTTGGTGTTGGAGAATATATCCCAGTCTTCAACCTCCCTAAGCTTTAGCCCCTCTGGACTTTCCCTCAGAACTACATGCAACCAGGAGCCTTAATTCCTGCAATATTCAGTCGGGATTAGTGACCTGCCTGCACCTCAGAAATTCCTGTTTCCAAGGGGGTGTGTATCCCCTAGTATAACTATGCAGAAAGTGACACTAGCTTCTAGGCCTAACGAGGAGACGCTTTTACGTACTGGTCATGGGCTGCCGCCTGCACAAAGGCCCACAGCTCAACTCACTCGCAATTTCCCCCAGAAACTGGCCAGAATACTGAGAAAGAAAGGAAGGTCTCGTCTTACTGTATAAGCCTGATGGAGGAGGTCATCTACGGTACTTCGAGATGCCTCCACCAGATTTCCCCAGGTCTAGTATGTGAAGACATGTGGGGGCGCCACCCTGCTGTTCACGGCACTTGTTGTTCTGAAGGTGTCTGATCTTAGAAGGAGCCACTGCGGTCTCAAAACCCCGTGCCCCAGCATTCAAACTTGGGCTGCCAGTTCTCCCTGGCTAATTATTATTATTATTATTATAATCAAAAAGAAGTGCTAAACCACAAGGGCTATACAGCCTCCCTGGCTAATATAACCTAGTGTTTGCCTATATTACTGGCCTATTTCTACCTACGTTAAGGTCTTAAGTAAGTAAGTTTATTCAGGTATACACAAATACAGTTGCATAAAATTATCATACATAGCAGCATATGTGTAGAGAACCTAGGATAACCCAAAAAAGTCAGACAGAGTGACTTATTTCCATTGGGGTCCTTTTACCTTATTATTATAATATAAAGGTTATAATATTTTCTTATTATTCTATAATGAAGATAACATCTTATTATCATACTAAAAAGACTATCTACTACACGAGGGTCATTAAGACTATCTACAAATCGAGGGTCATTACTAGGAATAAGGTAAAATTTACACGTATGTTTGCTAAAAAATAAAAAATCATTCCCCCTCCCTTTCTGTAGCTACATTCATCAGACACCTTTTGGCACTCTTCTTGAACTGGTTCATGCTATGACTGGCTTTGACATGTGCGGGCAGTCTGTTCCATTCCTTTATTGCTGTACAATAAAAGGTATTTGACGTCTGGCCACTGACTGTGAGTACTACAAAGTTGTGTTCTCTCCCCCTAGTACTATGATTGCTTTGGTTCCCAACCTTGACAAAATTGACAGCAAGATATTCTGGACACTGTTTGTGAGCAATTTTATAAACATGATTTAGCTTCAGTTGTTTTACTGTCTTCAACATTCGGCATATCCAACTGCTGTAATTCATCCTGGCTTACATGTTCTCTTGGTCCCAGTTGCCTCAACTGTCCTAATATTAGTTCACTAACAGTATAAATTGCCTACCTCTTCCTCGACGGGTAAATCTATCAATTAAAATGTACCTTCCAACCACCTTCGCCAACTCGGGTGTGTATGTGTTTTGGGGTGGATGTGAGGGCCAGCAGAACTCAGACGGCCTTTCCGTGGAATATAAGGGCCTTCATACAACGTATCTGCCCTGTGGAACTTTAGGACCGAGTAAGTAAGTAAGTTTATTCAGGTATACACAAATACAGTTGCATAAAATTATCATACATAGCAGCACATGTGTAGAGAACCTAGGATAACCCAAAAAAGTCAGACAGAGTGACTTATTTCCATTGGGGTCGAATAAGTTCCAACAGTTATTAACTCATGTAACATCAAATTAATATAATATTTACACCAGAAATCAGCTCAGAGCAGCATACACAAGGCTGCCACTCCACTCCCACTCAATCTGAAATTTTAACTTCCTTAAAAAACATCATTCTTCAGTCATTATCAATGACCTGAAATAATTCATTATCGGTTATTACTATCCATATTACCGATCACAATAAATTGAGAGTCCTTAGAACCTTAGACAAATGTAGAATAACGAAAGAATTCAATTTATTTAAGTCTGCATACAATTCCTAGAAAAAAATTGCAATCTTATCTTATAATACCACCAGCAGAACATGCAAAATAAGACACATTAAAGTATCCTAATATTGCGCAATATGTCTCATTTCACATTTGTAGGTATATTTCATGCCATTTCTTACCAGTAGAACAAAAGCCTTGCCTCATATTCCTTAATATTTTTCAGTTACTTCACTCCTGTTACAACAATTCAGACTTTTTTTTCAATAATATTAATGGTATTAATAATGACATAATATCTGTACTACACTGCTTGTCAAAAAAGAAAAAAAGTGGTAATTGTTATTTCTATACGGACCACAATGGAAATAAGTCACTGTCTGGCTTTTTTTGGGGGGGGGGGGTTATCCTGGGTTTTCTACATATGTGCTTCTATGTTTGATAATCTGTGTAACTGTATTTGTGTATACATGAATAAACTTACTTACCTTGAAGTGGTTTAAAAAGATATGTGAGCAAACACTAGGACATACGTATTTAGAAAAGTTTCAGTCTTTAGTACGGGCGGGTTATTTGTGTGAGGTCTCAGGACCGAAACGTTTTCTAACATGTATGTCCCAGTGTTAGTAAGTTTATTCAGGTACACACAAATACAGTTACATAGATTATCATACATAGCAGCATATGTGTAAAGTACCTAGGATAACCCAAAAAAGTCAGTGACTTATTTCCACTGGGGTTCTTTTACCTTATTATTATAATATAAAGGTGATAATATCTTATTATCTTATTTTAAACCTTGTTTATTCACTCCCCCTGAGTTACACAAACTATGTACTAAGAAAAACAAGGGTATATATGCATATTCAACTAATAAGGACTGTTCTGGTAAACCCGTAATTTTATTTAGGTAATGGTACACAGTTACACAAATTATCATACATAATGACATGTATAAGTTACCTAGGATAACCCCAAAAAAGTCAAAGTGACTTATTTCCATTGGAGTCCTTAAGTTGCCCGAAGTGCTCTACATAACCAAGGATTTTTTTTTTTACATAATGTGCCAGTGATGTCAATTAGGCTTGTATTAGACGTGTCATATACTTGTAGAAATAAAGATTATCATTATTATTATTAGTAGTAGTTAGTAGTAGTAGTAGTAGTAGTAGTAGTATCATTATTAAATTAGGACCCAATGGAAATAAGTAACTTTGTTGGACTTTTTGGTGGGATATTCTGGGTAATTTACACTATATATTATAATGTGCTCATGTGTACCTGTGCCTAAATAAACCTATTAACACCTGAGATATAGTGAGTTTTGTTGAGCAAGACAAGAGAGTACAAGAACTATACAAACAAGTGTACGAGAGACTGAGTTATCATATAAAGAGAGAGAGAGTGCGCACACTAATCTTCTCTTGCCAGGTTGCTTCTCCTGTCTGACGAAATAGTGATTCCACGTTACACCCAGTGTCTCAGCCGGACATAATGTCTGAAAATAAGGTGGTTGTGAGCGATTGTTAGTTAAGCCATGGGAGTAGTGAGACTTCTAGCCCGTGCTGGGCACTTTGTTAAGAGGGAACTCTCAACTCAGACATATTCTCAGAGAACAGCTGCTGTAAAAGTTAGGCGGGTTGGTAACCCATTTCTTTTGAGTTATTACAGCTTTTAGCATCCCTCCATCGTGTGTAAATGAGTTTTATGTATGTGTTTTAAGGTTACTTAGCAAGTTTGAACAGTGGGTGAGCAGTTATTGGTTAATGTTGGTCACGTTTGAGGGTCAGTAAGGGTCATACTGAGGCTGAGTAATCCATAAGAATTTTGTTTAGTGATAAATTTTAGTTTTTAAGCCACAGTCTGAGGCGCAATATAGTGTCATACTGTACAGTATTTGTGACTGCATGGTACCATGGAAATTATTGTTATTATTAGGTGTAATGGAGGTCACTGGGAGTTCCCTGCATGAGATATAATTAATATAGTAATTGTACAGTTAAGGCTACAGATTTTTTTCTACATGCTAGAATGAAATAAACTAGGGAACCTAGTGCAAATAAACTGGGTCAATATTGAATATAGGTCCTGTTTCTACCTGTTCATTGTACTATTTGTCTTGAGGTCAAATCTTAAATGATTTATCACATCTGTTTGCCTATGATAATGTGTTTAATGCAAGATTCAGATAGACTAACAATGTCTCGATGAATAAACAGAAAATGGGGACTCGAACTGTGTCCAACTCTCAGTGGGGCAGAATCAAACCTGCTGCTGCCAGAACCACAGTTCAAGTCCCTGGCCATTCTCCTATTTATGAGCTCCATATTTCTAAACTGGAAAGTTAACTCAGGATAACTACGGAAGTCAATTAGTGCAACTTATTTGCGTTGGTGTCCTTTGATCACCTTCCCCAGGATGCATCCCACATGTGTTGTTAACACCCAGGTACCTAATTAATACTAGGAGAACAGAAGCAGTAGGTGGTAGGAAACATGCCCAGTGTCTCCACTTCCTCCAGGATCAAACCTGGGCCCCATGGCTGTGAGTTGAAGATGCAACTGAGCCATGAGTGGCATTATCTAAAAACATTGTACCTGTATCATAGGTTTAACAATGTTGGGATTAACAGCAAAACCCTTTGTTGGCCTTTCTGTTTACAACAGGTTACTCTATAAACCACAAATAAACATGCTATACATATAAATACATCTTGTAAAGTCTCTCTTGGAGGATAGGATCATCTTAGGGACTTGTATATTTAAATTATGGGGGCTAAAACAGTATAATAAAGCCTCCTAGCTAAACACACCCATCACTTAAAATATGTACAGTGCATATAAGGCATAAGATGTACTGCAGTGTTTAGTTTTGGTGATGATTTGGTCAGGAGTGAACTGTCAAATCTAATGAAGGTCATTCCTGAGTGAAATGTCTAAAATAAAGGCTTGCTCTGCATTGTCTTTATGCCTACTTGTTGCTCTGTCACCAGTAATGGTAAGCTTGTTTGCCAGAGGAAATGGAGAGATAAGATTTCGTTCGGATTTTTAACCCCGGAGGGTTAGCCACCCAGGATAACCCAAGAAAGTCAGTGCGTCATCAAGGACTGTCTAACTTATTTCCATTGGGGTCCTTAATCTTGTCCCCCAGGATGCGACCCACACCAGTCGACTAACACCCAGGTACCTATTTGCTGCTAGGTGAACAGGACAATAGGTGTAAGGAAACGTGTCGGAATTTCCACCCGCCGGGAATCGAACCCGGGCCCTCCGTGTGTGAATCGGGAGCTTTAGCCACCAGACCACCAGGCCACCTAGGTTAACATTCAAGTGGGGGGAGTGCTTAGCTCATAAAGGGTCATACAGTGCCTGAGGGATTGGGAAGCAATAGGGTTTGATCCAAGAAAGGGAAAATCAGGTCCAGTTCCTTGATCTGAGAGCCCCTCACCAAGCATCAACAAACATCCCTCAAAGGGTATCCTAGGTTGTCAGCATAAACTGTTGCCTTTTTTTTTTTTTTTTATCAAAGGTGACTTTTCAGTATCAGTATTTTCAGTTTAACCCTTTCAGGGTCCGTCCCGTAGATCTACGGCTTTACGGTGAGTGTCCAAACCGTAGATCTACGCCATGAGCTCAGCTCACTCTGATAAACTGTGAGTGGTACATTTGGGCCTAGATATGAGAGAATACATCTATGTGGTATGTGTGCACCACATAAAACAGATCCTGCAGCAGACTGTGTATAATGAGAGAAAAAACTGAAATCATGATTTTTCGATTAAAACAGCAACTTTGCAGTGTTTTTTCGTATGTTTTTTTTAGTTGTATTTGCGATTTCTTGGTCTCATTTGATAGAATGGAAGACATATTACAGAAATAGAGATGTTTTTTGATTGGTTTTAGCACTGGAAATGGCTTGAAACTGAGCTCAAAGTAGCGGAAATGTTAAATTTTTGCCGATATTCAAGAGTAACAAACGACCTCACACATCTAATACACGTCACTGGTGGGTCTAATATACATTCACAAATATGGTGAAGATATTTATACAATTATTACAGTATTGCATAACAGTAAATCTTCTATTTTTTGGTGTGAATAAAAATTCATTATGTGAATAAAAAATCAAAATGGAATTTATTTGTAAAGCCTCAAAACAAACTAACGAACAGAGGAAATGTTAGTTTAGTGCCAGGAATGCCTACATTGTTTATTCTGGACCCTATTTTTTAAATTGAAATATTTTGAACTTTGTGTTAAATTGGCCAATTGACAATTTCCGATCACTTTATTTTGTAGTTGAAACAGTTGACTTGGCGATTTCTTGTGCTTCAATCGATAGAATAGAAGTAATACTAGTGAAATAGCTAAGAATTTGGTTGATTGGAATAATGTAATTGGCCTAAAATGGGAGTCAAAGTCGGCAAAATCGCTGATTCGTAAATATCGCTGACACATCAAAATTCGCGAGAGCATAATTTCGTCAATTTTCCACCAAATTTCGTACTTTTTGTTTTATTACCTTCACAAAAAGATTCTCTACGATTTCATAAGAAAAAATAACAAATTTTTTTTTTGAAAATTCTTGGACACTGGTGCGTGACTCCAGATTTGGGCCTTGGACCCTGAAAGGGTTAATGATCTATATTGTTAAACAGACAGTATTATAAACTTGTACAGCAGTTTGAATAGGCCTATAATTGTAATTACCACCAGTGTACAGTATGCCATATTTAAGTGCATTTTGGAACTTTTGTTCAAATTTATAGTACTCTCTAAAATTGCCTGCAAATATCCTGAATAAAGCTTATCTTCTCATAATCTTCTACTTATAACTTAGCCAGAATAAAAAAAACTACTGTACATGAAAAATAGTAAATTGTATACTTATATACTTATCAACATAATGTGTCAGTATAGGGTGTAAGTAGGCCTTGCCTAGCATTATCCAGTAGACATATTGCTGTATTCATCCACACAAAGATTTTTTTTTTTTTTTTTGAGGGGAATAGCGGACTGGTGGCATGAGTGTAGGTTGGCCAGGTTTGGCAGTATCTCATCATATTGTTACTGAGTGCCAGCTACCGTTTCCACAATTCTTTGTACCATCAGCAACTATCTTATTTTATTAGCTGGTGATTATGCCACAATAGCTGTTTACGTAGTGATTGGCACTATTGTAAACGAGAAAACACTGCTAAACTAACCATGAGTACAGTGGACCCCCAGTTTACAATATTATTTCATTCCAGAAGTATGTTCAGGTGCCAGTACTGAACGAATTTGTTCCCATAAGGAATATTGTGAATTAGATTAGTCCATTTCAGACCCCCAAACATACATGTACAAACGCACTTACATAAATACACTTACATAATTGGTCGCATTGGGAGGTGATCGTAAACCGGGGGTCCACTGTATTTGACTCAAAAATAGAGTAAAATGCATCAGTACATCCATAAACACTGGCAGATAGAATTTCACCACCTTAAATCTATTTCTTATTTTATTATTAAACTAGAGTAGGGCAGGAGGAGAAAAAGGTTTTCTTTTTATATAAACATATTTTGTTTAGTGTACTGTACAACTTCATACAGTGCTGTGTGCTGTATGTGCCCTGACAATTTGCAGTAATACCTATTTACATCAATAGCTGATGTATTGAATTCAGCACCATGGTACTTAATAGACTTAATTTGATTAGTTCAGTCACCTTTCTAAGTTAGGTAAGCTTTACACAGAATATGTACAGCTTAAATGACCCAGTTATGTAAGTACATAAATGGGTAAGTGATAGTTTAAATTGTATTACTGTGATATTGAAAGTAGTGGCTGCCTCACTTATTACAGTACAGTACTGTATATGTACAGAGGGAAAATCAGATGATTAGCACAGTATTGACAAAAAATATGGTAAGGTTGCTGTTGTGCAACCATTCAGTCTCCTATCATTTAAAGTTTTAGTGACAAATGGTGCAGCACTGTATGACCATTTTGGGTTTAGCACTTAGTTTTGGTTGTAATAATAATAGTGGCAAATGAAGGTTATAGTGTAGTGCAGCACTTTGATGAACTTTGCAGCCCTAAATGACCCTTACAGATACCTCTATGTAAATTCTATTTATCACAGTACTTGTACTTTAAATAATGTAATCATTGAATATGTGAAATGCAACCTGTAATTTTTTTTTTTTTTTTTTTGCAAATTATCATACTGTACTATATATTGCTATAATAATAAGTATTATTGAAATACTGTATTAATTTTGTTATTAATAAAAACTAAAATGGCAGTAATGTAATAGGTGATTGATTAAAATAGATAAACTTTGTAGTAAGAATGCTGTATAGTACAATATTTGAGACAAAATCAATGTTTTGTGCTAAATATTAATAGCTTTTGAAAATTAAATTTATGTACAGTATACTATATACTATTTTGAATGTGTAATATGTAAAAGGGAATCAGTGTTTCATTAACTAAATATATGTCTGTAGATGATATTTAACCCTTAAACTGTCCAAATGTAGATCTACGTCCACGTGCGAGGGGGGGGCTCCAAACGTAGATCTACTTTTTTTTTTACATGCTTTCAAATGGGGAAAATCAAGGTCGGAGCACTGTGCACGTGAACGTAGATCTACATTTGGACAGTTTAAGGATTAATGCATTTTTAAGCAGTCACTCTTAGTACGGTGTAACATTGAAAATCTGGAATGAAAAATATTAATTTCTGTTGTAATTTTTCCTTCTTACATTAGGAGTATTATCTGTAAAATAACTTGCTCATGGAAACAGTCAACAAATTTGTTCACATAATGGAATCCTTGGAGCTGGACATAGCTGCACTTGATGCTCTGTTGGGTGACCAGAGCTATGTCAGTGGTTATCATCCCACAAAAGCAGATGTAGCAGCTTGGAGGGCAATTGGTAAAGTCCCAGAGGCTGACTTTCCTCACGTTGCTCGCTGGTACCACCATATTGCCAGCTTTGGTGCCAGCAGTAAAAACTTTCCAGAAGCTTCCATTACATTTGTGTTGAAACAGCAGATTCCAGAATTAAAACCAAAAGGAACTGCTCCGTTTGTGAGGAATTCCATGAAAGAACAGAAATCAGAGCCTCAGAAAGCATCTGGAAGTAAAGGTCAGGTGGAGGTGAGGCTCTGCACTTTTATACAAAGTTTTCTTTTGAGTGAATTGATTAAAGTTTGTATTTACATAATATAATTACTGTATTACACTACAATACTTTCAAAGTTAGGAGGATGGGCTCACCCACTGTTCTGCATGGAAAATGTTTGCAGTAGCTACATAATATTTGAAAGGTTGACAGTGAATCAACCTCCTTCATCAGGTCAAGCAGCCATGTATGAATAACAAATGGTTAGACACTTTTAACCCTTAAACTGTCCAAATATAGATCTACATTTGCTCGCATAGCATTTTGAACGTAGATCTAAGTTTTTTACGTGCTTTCAAATGGAGAAAATCAAGGTCAGAGTGCTATGCACATAAATGTAGATCTACATTTGGACAGTTTAAGGGTTAATAACTGTAGACTTTGTGCTGCTCCATGCAGTCTGCTGCAAACATTTTTTGTATTTTAATGCTTGTTCGTATAGTCACCACCTGTGTACAGTACTGTATTATTCTGTACTAGCCTTCACTTCTATTAAATTTTTACCTAGTGTATTATTTTTAATTTCTGATACTGTAAATTGCTAATATACAGGTCTCTCTAAAGGTCTTATACTCTCTGGATACTTCCTCTATTTCAGTGTGTGGCCCCAAATATGTTTTTACAAATACTTGATATAATTTAAGCCTCGTTAGAGAGAATTTGCGGGATTTCAATATTCATCATAAAATTGTGCTTCAACGTACAGTATAATTTTTTGTATAATTTGGAGCTGCAGTAGTTGCCTCAGCATCTGCTGTTGGGCAACTCCAATTTTTCACACCCTCCTTCCCTTTCTAACCTAACCTAACTGTTAAATCCAGTGGTTCCCAACCTCAGGGCCCTAACCCAAATTAGGGTCATAAGGGTTCCTTGATTAGGTTGCTGGGGTTTTGAAACTTAAAAGTAAGATGGATCAATACTTGCCTCAAAATGTTACTCTTCAGAAGCACAACTGTGTAAGAAATGCTTTGGATTTGGATGACCAAAAGGTTGGCAATGGAGTTGATGGAAGCCAAGAATGGTTTAATCTTTGGGAAAGATGAGTTTTGCCAGATTTTCATCTCCTTATTGGGTGCAGCTGTTGGGGGTAAACCTGTTTTCTCTCGTAATCTAGGATTTTCTTGTTTGGTTTCAAACTATACAAAAGCACGATCTAGTTATGACCTATGCTGTGCCCACTCTATCAGTATTCAGACTAGGCTAATTGAACTGATTGAGGCAGTATAACATCAAGATTACCACTAAATATTGAAAAAAAAAATCTGTATATATGTATTTTTAACTTTGTCTATTGTGTTCAAATAAAAAATGTGAATATATATAGGCATCATTAGTTGTCCAGTATGCATTTGTATGATTAAAATAGTGACTACTATTTTTGCTTCAATTTGTATTAGATTTTTACATCTTTCTTTCAAAACACTGACCGTATCCCGCCAAGGCAGGATGGCCCAAAAGGAAAAACGAAAGTTTCTCCTTTTACATTTAGTAATATATACAGGAGAAGGGGTTACTAGCCCCTTGCTCCTGGCATTTTAGTTGCCTCTTAAAACACGCATGGCTTACGGAGGAAGAATTCTGTTCCACTTCCCCATGGAGGAGATTTTTACATATGTACATAATTATTTTTTAATAGTACATATTGTTACTGTAAATAGTATCATAACTTTGATGTTCAGTGGCTGGTCACTTCAATTTGCACAAAAAAAAAAAATAACTGTAAAGTAATACAGAAACTTGTACTTTTCTATACAGAGCTTAATCATATTCATGTTGGTGCCTATTTGATTCTTTAAAATTTTAATAGAACAAGTATAACTGAAATATTTTCTTGGAACACATCTTGGATTATAGTGTGGTTGTTTTAGAAACTGGAGTTCACTCCAAGTAAAAAAAAACAAACAAATACTTTTCCTTGGAACCTGTCATAGTCATTAAGTGGAAAAATTACTGCACGATACTGTGTATGCACAGGAGTGCTATAGTATGAATGATGGGACACCATAATCTTTACTCTGCTTCTGTAGATTCAAACAGGTAGTTACCTGTATGTAATTCTTTCCATTAACTGAGTTTTGGTCATTTGTTATAGAATACAGCTCCAACTTATCATAATTAAAGTTTAGCTAATTTCTAGCATATACATACATACATAATTCTGTTGGCTTGTCTTAAAACTGTAACTGGTTCACAGATATAAAACCAAATCTGGGCGCCATCCTTAGTACAGTACAGTTTTGTAAGCAACTGATGAATGGATTAGCTTTGAATGCATATTTTAAAAGATAAGCCACTCTTGCTGGAGGAATATCCTATTTGTAATAAACCAACATTGGTCAAAGAGATTAGCGTTGGATGCTGTTTGTGATTGGTGTGAACAGTGGGACATCAACTGAAAGACTATTCTATAATCTTATTGTTTGCCAACTAGCATTTTATACCACAACACTTTTCATAAATTAATTGCTTCTCCTTATGTATATACAAACCATTTTCTGTTATATCATCCCCTTCATTGCTGCATGTGCCAGTAACCTTGCTCTTGTGATGCCAAAGAAATCTCTTAGTTGACCTTATACATATCCTGTATAATATTTAATAACTTATTTTTTGTATTACCATGACTTTCTTTTTAGTTGGCATGTGGGTTAATTTTTTCTAAGGACGAGGCGGTACAGTACTGTATTTGGTGACCGTAGTGTCTACCTATTCATTGTCTAGACAGTACCCTCATTTCGATAAGGGATGCGGTGGGTCCAATAAGATGGGCCTCAAAATAAGCAGCAGACATAGCAACCAATTATTTTTTTTTTTTTTTTTTTTTTCAACAAGTCGGTCGTCTCCCACCGAGGCAGGGTGACCCAAAAAAGAAAGAAAATCCCCAAAAAGAAAATACTTTCATCATCATTCAACACTTTCACCACACTCACACATTATCACTGCTTTTGCAGAGGTGCCCAGAATACAACAGCTTAGAAGCATATACGTATAAAGATACACAACATATCCCTCCAAACTGCCAATATCCCAAACCACTCCTTTAAAGTGCAGGCATTGTACTTCCCATTTCCAGGACTCAAGTCCGACTATATGAAAACCGGTTTCCCTGAATCCCTTCACTAAATATTACCCTGCTCACACTCCAACAGATCGTCAGGTCAATTATTTATATATTAACTTAATTTTATTTTATTAACTTAATTTTATTTAGTCACCAGACTGCAGTGGACTTTTGGAGAGCATTGATGTATCTGTAAAAAATGTCAAAACTGTGTATTACATTGGGATTTCCTGAAAATCTGAATGGCATGTGCTGTGATTGTTGTTGCACATGATGTACTGTTGACATTTAAATAATAATTTATATGTTTGGAACCAAAAAAATGGTATGGCTTACTTTTGATACTGACAAACCAACCTCTCAGAGACAAATAAAAATTAAATAATTGAATAATATGATGTAAGCTATTCCTGGCAAAGAATGGTTCAGGTAAACTTTAAATATTCTGGTGTGATTATAAATTGTAATTTAAAACAAATCCCAATCATTGTAGTTACTAACAAGGATTAGGGTAAAAACATTTAGCTTAAAAGAAAGAAAAATATAGTAGAGTAATTAATTACCAAATCCACCATTTCCTAAAATATACAATGCATTTGATAAACAAGGTAGAGAAATGTGACTTCACATATATTTCCTACAGCAGGCAAAGTAGCACTTGCCATGCCTTTCCTGTGAGGACACTTGCTAGCACAGGTGTTTTTACACACTTGAAATTCCTCTCCCTTTTTTAAAACTAGATCAGTGTGCATTACTCATAGACATATTTTTTTTTAAATATAAATTCATTTAACCAACTCGCAAACAATGAAATGTATACATAAAAGCTTTGATAATACGGTATATAGTACATGTACACATGACACTAAATACATATTCTGTCATAAGAATATTATCATGTCTTGGGGTGTGCCAAATTACCAGTATTGGTGGGTATTGACTAATTTTGATGTTATTGGTATTAGCCTAAAATTGAGTATAGGTCTCAGCATAAATTCTGGTACCTTCCCAGCCCTAATCATGTCTTATACTGTACAGTATTTTATTTCTGATGGTTAATAAATACGTATTCTTCAAAGCATAATAATAATAATACGTACTATAATAATTGTATTTTAATACTACATGTAATTTTTTAAATGAAAAGTAAATAACCATGTGTTTTTGACAGTTCAAGTTTTTAACCTGAAACAACTATATCACTTTTTATATCTGAACTGGTAAGGTGTTTGCAATTAAGGTGAAAATTCTGGCAAGAGAAAGTCTGTTAGGCAATCACTGTATTTGTGTGTTTTAAAACATCAACAGATACCCAAATACAGTACTGCATGTGCTTCCTGCTTACATTGACAGTTTCAGTTAATGTCATGGAATGTGGATCTGTAGCAATGCATAAAATCTGAATAACATTTTTGCAGTTGTGTACTCTGTGAATCTTATTTCTGATAATTTGTATTAGTAAAAATTATATGGGTAGTATAATGTAATTTTTTTTAAACTATGTACAGTAGGATCCCCGTATCCATGGGGGATAAGTTCCAAGACCTAATGTGGATAGTAGCAAACCTTGTATTTAAGTAATATTTCACTTACATATATGCCTATGATAAAGTTTAATTGATAAATTACACACAGTAAGTTGAGAATTAGCACTTTTTCACTGATTGGAAGCACTTCGTGACTTCTCTCGGCTTTAAAGAAGTGTCACCATCACTACTTTTGCACTTTGGTGTCATTATTAAGCAAAATTAAGGGTTATATTTTCAGGTCATGGTAAACCACAGACAACTGAAACTACAGAAGCCAGACCTGTGGATACGGCACTCCTACTGTCTAGAGTTGTTTACATATGGTATACTGTACCATATAATAATACACGTTTAATAATTTTCTGTTTATGCAGAGTAAAAAGGAAAAAGGTGGAGGAAATGGCAAGGGTGCAATAGAGCTGAATCCATGGCCAGATTACATCCATGAGCGCCTCAACATGTGGGACAGACTTAAGAAGGAAGCAGACGAAATTCTAAAAGCTAAAGTTCCTGAACCCATTAAAGTAGGTACACATTAAATTTTTTAAATAGTAATGCACTTGTAATATTAAATGCTACACTGATAATGTCTATGCTGGATTACAAGCCCACAGATCATAAGTATCTAGCTCCTGATTTAATTTGCTTGTGATATGTTCCAGCCTCAGTATATTTATTTTTATTCTTCATTTGACTATTTAAAATTTTTATTACTGTTTAAAGTTGCCAGTAATTATCTTTTGTATAAAGTAAGTACAGGAGATAGCCAGTGGATTAAAAAAATTATTAATTGCAAATATTATTTTTAGATTACTTTGCCTGATGGTGCAGTCAAAGATGGTAAATCTTGGCAAACTACTCCATATGAAGTAGCCCAAAGTATCTCTCAGGGTCTGGCAGAAAACACTGTGGTAGCTAAAGTGAATGGAGAAGTCTGGGATCTCGATCGTCCATTGGAACAAGATTGCAAGTTAGAGTTGCTCAAGTTTGATGATGATGAGGCAAAAACTGTAAGTGTTCATTAAGAATCTTAATACTGTACAGTATTTATCTTTACTTTTGTAAATATTAGCTAACATTGAATTTACTTGAAAATTTAATTTGGTGATGGGTAATACCAAAAAATTAATTTATCCTTGCATTTTAATTGTAAAAATTATGTTAATTCTCTGTACTAATACATTTTACTTTTGTCTGTTTAGGTAAAACCTCTGAAGTTGTAGTACCTGTTCTGTATTTGTATTTAAATTAGCCTCATTACATATTCTTTTTATGGTAATTAATAAGAAAGCAAAGATATATGATGAATTTGAGCATAAAACTGAATTTAGTACTCGCTATTTGTAAGAGAAAAAAATACTGTTAATTAGTATTTTCAAGGGAATGTTTGAGAAAATATGCACCTTGAAGAGTGATTTCATGTTTATAGCTGCAAAAAACAATTAAACTTTTTATACGTGCCTTGAAATAGATATGGAGGCTGTCCTGTATGTTTAGTTTTGATGTACCATAATTGTTTAGAGAAATGGACTATCTATTTTTGAATCTGTATAAGGAGTTGGCCTCTATGGTAGCCTAGGCTTTCTAAAAACTCATAATGGATGTCCAGTTTCTATTTATAGTATATCTGTCCTGGACACTCCTGTGTTAGGTACAGTAGCAACCTAGCCTCGAATTAAACCATTCATTTTATTGTGCATTACTGTATACAGTACAAAACAATACTATGCATCAACTTCTTGAAAGTTCTTTATTTCTGCTTTCAATTAATTTTAGTTATTTTAGATTAGAATGCTTTATTTCAGCCTAAATATACCTATATACTATGTACAGTATAATGTAATTACCCACCATTATGCAAATTACAAAGTGTAACATATGGTAGCACCACGGCAAGATATCTTGGCATACAGTACTGTAATGGGTATATTATGAGTTATTAATTTTTTAATTTTAAGTTTACTTAGGAAGGAACTTGAAAAATATTTTGAAGTAGCCGTGATTCAGTATATTGCTCAAGTATTGCGTACTCTCATAATTATTCTTCCATACACAGGTCTTCTGGCATTCCTCTGCCCATATCTTGGGTGAAGCATTAGAGCGTGTGTATGGTGGACACCTTTGTTATGGACCTCCCATTGAGGAGGGGTACTACTATGATATGTACACAGAGGGTGCAGGGGTGTCCAACCTGGACTTTCCTGGCATTGAAGAGGTGATGAAGAAGATCACCAAAGAAAAACAACCATTTGAAAGACTAGAGATGAAAAAGGAAGATCTACTCGAGATGTTTAAATACAATAAATTTAAGGTTAGTTTTTGTTATAAATACAGTTAACTTTTTTTTTTTCCAAATTTTTTTATTTATAATTATACAATGCTTATACTCGTACAGCCTCTCCTCACTTACTGATGTACTCGTTTACTGAAAACTCGGAGTTACGATGGGCTCTCTGACAAGTCGGTATTGTATGCCATACAAGAACTTAGGTCATAGAAACGGGCAGCGCGACATCTCAGCGTCGGGCATCTCAATCTCCTTCCTGCAGCCACTCAGTACACTAGCTTTCAGTCTCCAAGAATACATATTTTACAAATTTATACTTTATTTTGCACCCCATAGTACAAGATAGATAGAAGTGCAGCAGCAATTGGAAGAGGAAAAACAAGAGGAAAATGGAAGTACAAAAGAAGTTTACAGTAAAGGGGTTAGCTGGTGTGTTCATCTGTGTGTGTACATTCTCAGTGTCTTGTGGCAGCTTAAGAAATGATTAAACTCAGTTAACAGAGTACGTATGTCAATGGTAATAATCATAATAATTAATAAAGATGATCTCTGGATAATCAACACAAAATGAGTATTGAAACAAATGCTTAGTTTTTACCTGTTACAGGGTGATTATAAAGAGAGATAAGAAAGTACAGTATTGAAATGTATTCTGTTGATCTAGCTTCAAAAATCAGCCCAAACTTCAGACCCACTGAATCATATAAATATACTCTTGATTATTCAAATGATTTATAAAGTTCAGTAGTTTGTACTGGGCTTTGACAACTCATATACAGTATTTGGTTTATAATTTACTCTAGTAAAATGTATAATGTTTATCAAGCATAATTATGGAAAGGCATTGCATCATAAGTAAAAATTGCCTTAATTCCTTTACCCTATGAGATTTTTCTGCTTTGTAGGTGCGCTTGTTGAACGAGAAAGTGAAGACTGACACCACCACTGTATACCGCTGTGGACCTCTCATTGATTTGTGCCGAGGTCCACATGTTCGCCACACTGGGAAGGTTAAAGCCTTTACGGTAATTATTTTTCACTTAATTTGGGCTTGGAAAAAGTTTTACTAGTTAATAAATCAATATTACTAATGAAAAATATTCTTATTTCACTCATTAAGTATGTTAACAAATAAACATCCCTCTTTTTTATTGTTGAATGTAGTCTATATCAATAAGAATACTGTACCTTAAAACAAAGAATTGTTAGAAAAATAATACAAAGGGGTTAAAAAATAACAGTGAGCAGTTGTAATAGGCAAATATTGCTAACCTAACAGGTGACTAAGAACTCTTCGTCATACTGGGAAGGAAACAGTGAGGCAGAATCTCTTCAAAGAGTTTACGGGATCAGCTTCCCCGATCCAAAACAACTGAAGGAATGGAAGCATTTCCAAGAGGAGGCAGCCAAGAGAGATCACAGAAAAATTGGTAAATTATTTTTAAGTCTTCTTATATCTTTGCAAACCATGTTTGTTGAGGGATTCATTCAGGAATGGACTTGCATAAAATGTTCACTTTACACATCTAACAAATGTTTTGAAACAAAAAGGAGCAAGAATTTATACAAAAAGTTAATTAATCACTCGTATGGATTAGCTACCACTGCTTACATAAATAAATAAATGGAAATACCGAGGACTGCTTCAAAAAATATACAAATTTCCTTTCCCACATTAAACACAATAGTGAATAAGTTGAAAGAAACCTGAGGATAAGGGCAGAATGGTGTTGTGTATAAGATTTACTGTAATAACTTAATTATTGTCCCAAAACCTCTCCAAAATGAAGCACCTTATTTTTATAGAAGCTTTTGCTCAATTCCTCTTCAAGGGGGGCTCCTTGGCGTGGTGAAGAGGCTCTTGGTCTGAGGAATTAGACCTGTCGGTCTACTTCCTCAGACCGAACCTAATTACCCCCCAATCCCCCGTTCATTATCCCATCCTCCCCTTTTTCCTTTCCTCCTCCTCCTCCCCACCCCTCCCTTTTGCCCTTCCTTTTTGGCCTTTTTTTTTTTTTTCCCCACAGGCACGCTAGTTCCTAGGTAGGGGAAAGGGTACCGGGGTCCATCCCATTCCGTTGAGGTTCTTGGCGGTGGAGTAGTTTGCCGTGGAATCTGGATTGCCTAGGGATGTCCTGATCCCTCTCCGGTATCCCGGAGGGTGGCTTTGGGTGTCTCTCGGGCGACGGGTGTATCTCTGGAAGCCACCTTTCGGATTCCGGGGGTGGTGGCCGAAGGAGGTATGCTTTGTGGCGGATTTCCGGCTGCCCTCTCTTTTGTCCACCGAGGTAGCTCGGCAGATGTGAGGTTGCTATCCCGGATTGCCGGTTTACTGGCATGATGGGTAGGGTATGGCACGGGTTCCATGCTGCATCTGCGCTACTTGCGGTGCTGAGGTCCTCTTGGGTGCGGAGGGAGATTTCTGGCCCTTTCATTCCTCCTAGGAACTATCCCTCCCCGGTCCCCCCTTTTTTTATTCTTTTTTTTTATTTTTATTTTTTCTTCTTTCTTTTTTTTTCTTAAAAACAAAAAGAAAGAAGTAACCTAACCATGGCAGCCCTAGTCCATGAACCTGCTACCCCCGGGCCCCTTCTTGATACCGCACCCCGTTCTGACCCCGCCTCGTCTTTGGACCACTCTTCGGACACTCCTCATGCCTCTGTACCTCTTGCCGGTGCTGTTTCCTCACCCACTTCAGGTACTGAGGCCTCGACTGACTCCTTCAATTTATCTGACCTTCGCTCTCCTCTGACTATGTTCCGGCCTCTCCCTCTACGGTGCGGCAATTTTCGAATTGCCGGCCCGTTCCACATCGGACCAACTCTGGTCCCATGCCTAAACGACGACAATTACCTGCTGATGATACTTCTCCACCTTCTCGTTCTTCTCAGAAAAGATCGACACGTCCTTCACTACCTTTCCACGCTCAGTTTCAGACTGCACAGTGGACTAAATTCTTCACTTTATGACCGACTTACCTCTACTGCTATCTTTCTGACCACAGTATTGGCAGGCACTCCTACGCCATGTGGTAAAGATATTTCTTTTCATGCTCTTAAGAGCGGTACGCGCATCGTCACAGTACAGAATGCTACCCAGGCTCATGAGCTTTCTCGTCTTTCCCATATCGATACTGTTCCTGTAACTATTGAAAAGCATCATTCCCTCAATTCTTGTAGTGGTACCATCATTTCTGCCCATACCATAGTTCAACAAAATTTCCAGACATGTGGCACTGACATTCTTGAACAGCTGGAACTCCAAGATCTCCCAATCCTCAAGGTAGACACTTACGTTCTTCCTGCCCGTGGGCAGAGACGATACCCTAGCAATGTGGCTCGTTTAACTTTGACAGCCGTGAACTCCCATCTCAGTTTATGTAGCAGGACATCGGTTACAAGTTCGAAAGGTGATCCCTACACCGCAACAGTGTAGAAATTGCTGGCGATTTGGCCATCCAGCGAAATATTGCAGATCTATCGCCGAATGCCCAGTCTGTGGTGCCGATGACCATTCTAATACGTCTTGCAATCGATCTCCCTCTTGCCTTAATTGTCGTGAGGCTCACCCTTCGTACTCTTACCGTTGTCAAGTCTACTTAAACAAGCGGGAAATCCGTTACCTCAAAGAGGCAGAAGGTCTCCCTTATGCCATGGCAGTTTCTCATCTCTGCCTCCAAGGGAGACTACCTCGTGTTTCTTATTCCCGTGTTTCAAAACGTCCCCCCACTTCTGGTATCCCATCTTCTGCACCCACCTCTGTGGTTACCTCTCCCATAGTCACTCCTGTAGCTAATTCTTTTGCTGTCCTCGGCTCAGACGTCCCTACTTCAACATCTCAGTCTGATCTTGCTTCTTCGTGTTCTCTCTCACAAGCCTCAGTAGCGACGAGATCTCGTATGACACCTCCCAATCGTCCCTCTACTTCTCAAACGTCAAAAAAAGGTCCGTTAACCACTCTACCATCTTCCACCTCCTCATTTTCCTTCCCTGTCTCTGTACCTGGTTCTCCCCCTCTCACTGGCTCTGTTACAAGTGTAGAGGTTCACCCTCCTCCTCGTACTGTACCTTCCTCCCCTGTTCCCTCCCAAGTTTCTTCCTCTTCGGTCACCTCCCAGGTTTCTGCCTCTTCTGTCCCCTTCCACGCTTCTCCAGTTCCCTCCAGCCTTCCGTCCCCCCTACCTTGGTACAGTCCATTACAGTTCCAATCTTTACTCATCCTCCCCCTACCATTTCCAATATTGTCTCCCATACTACGTCTCTGAATTCTGAAACACTTGAAGCAATCTCTGAATATATTGCAGAGACCAAACCATCAATGGACACTGATCCACCCTCCGCTCCTTCTCTCTCCTCTACTCCATCTGCGCAACTCCTTTCTTCACAGCGCACCGTTCCTTCGCTGCTTGAACGTTTTCCACTGCCTCGCATGTGGACTTTTCTAACCCCTCTAGTCCGTAGGAACCCTTACCTGCGGATTTCAGGTATCTTTATCATTGCCAATCATGCCTATTTACAGTGGAATATACGCGGCCTCGGGTAATCGGGGTGGCTTCAGATGTTTACTCTCCCAGTTTTCCCCTGTTGGTGTTTGCTTACAGGAACCAAAATTACACTCTGCTGTTATCTCTCCCATCATCAGGCTATAATTTATTGTATTCTTCAGATCCTTCTCCTGATGGGACCTTTAATGAAAGTGCCCTTCTTCTACGCACTGATATTCCGTACCATCAGCTATTTGTTCGTACTTCGCTGCATTACACAGCAGCCCGTATCCACTTGCATAGGTGGTATACGCTCTGTTCTTTATATCTCTCTCCTTCTCGGGCATTATCTATTCCGGATATTGCCTTTCTTGTTTCGTCATTACCACCACGATTCTGTTACTTGGTGATTTTAATGCCCACCATTTCCTCTGGTGGGGGGTCTCACTGTGATTCCCGTGGCATTCAGTTAGAAGCTTTTCTTGCCACCCACCCCCTCCATGTTTTAAATACAGGTACTCACACCCATTTTGATCCTCGGACTCACACTCTCTCTTGCATCGATCTCTCAGTCTGCTCTTCCTCCGCCGCATTAGACTTCACTTGGTCTGTTCTTCCGGACTTACATGACAGCGATCATTTCCCAATCATTCTTACTTCCCCTTCATATTCACCACCTCTTCGCATCCCACGCTGGCAATTTGATCAGGCAAATTGGAACCTTTACTCACACCTAACTGTTTTTTAGAGAGGTTCCTTCTTCGTCCTCCATCGATGAGCTTTTACACCTCTTCTCGCCCTCCGTTTTTAACTGCAGCTTCTCATTCTATACCCCAAACTTCGGGCAGGCATTCTCAGAAATGCGTGCCTTGGTGGTCTCCTGCTTGTGCTCGTGCAGTACGTTTGAAACGCGCTGCATGGGGCAGGTACCGGTACAATAGAACCACAGAGAGACTTCTTGAATTTAAGCAGAAGCGTGCGATCGCTCGCCGTGTCATCCGTGACGCTAAACGCACTTGCTGGCGAGATTGTCTCCACCATCACCTCTGCTTCCTCTATGAGTGCAGTCTGGAAAAAAGTACGAAAACTGAGTGGTAAATATTCTCCTGACCCGGCTCCTGTTCTGCTGGTTGCCGGTGTTGATATAGCAAACCCACTAGATGTTGCCGATGAAATTGGCAATCATCTGGTCCGTATTTCTCAGGGACTCCATCTATGCCCCTCATTTCTTTCCTCAAGTCTGCAGAGAGTTTAGCACCCTTGGACTTTTCTTCTCTCAGAGAAGACAGTATAATGTGCCTTTTACACTTCAAGAACTGGAGGCAACACTCTCAGCTTGCCGATCATCAGCAGCTGGGCCTGACGACATTCATATTCGTATGCTACAACATTTACATCAGTCAGCCCTTGCAGTCCTATTATGCCTTTACAATCTTATTTGGTCACAAGGAGTTCTTCCACAGCTGTGGAAATCCGCCATTGTTCTCCCTTTCCGCAAACCAGGCACTTATGGGACATGAAACCTCCCACTATCGTCCCATTGCTCTTACCAGTGCAGTTTGCAAAGTGATGGAACGCCTAGTAAATAGACGTTTAGTGTGGTATTTAGAGACACACAACAGTCTCTCCACTCGTCAATATGGCTTTCGTAAGGGACGTTCTACCATAGACCCCTTACTATGCTTGGATACGTATGTTCGTAATGCCTTTGCGAATAACCACTCAGTTATTGCCATATTTTTTGACCTGAGAAGGCATATGACACAACTTGGGAGGTATAATATTTTAGCCCAAGCCCACTCCTTAGGCCTTCGAGGCAATCTACCATCCTTCCTTTAAGAACTTTTTAACTGACAGGCATTTCCGTGTTCGGGTTAATAATGTGCTCTCCCCGGACTTTATCCAAGCTGAAGGTGTCCCCCAGGGATGTGTTCTGAGCACAAACACTTTTTCTCCTTGCTATTATGATTTGGCCTCTAGTCTTCCATCAATATTTGGTCATCACTCTATGTTGATGACTTCGCTATTGCCTGTGCAGGCGCTGACTGTCACCTTATTACAGTTTCTCTCCAGCATGCAGTCGACCGTGTTTCCAATTGGGCCACCACACGTGGGTTTAAATTTTCCAGCACTAAAACCCACCAAATTACTTTCACTAGACGCTCTGTCATCTCCGATCATCCTTTGTACCTCTATGGCTCCCGTATCCCTGAACGTGATAGTCAAGTTTCTGGGCCTCCTCTTTGATTGTAGGTTATCCTGGAAACCTCACATTACCTCTCTGAAGGCAACTTGCCACAGCCGGCTGAACATCCTTAAAACCCTTGCTCATCTTTCATGGGGAGCTGATCGTCGAACCCTCCTTCGCCTACATTCCACCCTTATCTTATCGAAACTTGATTATGGTGACCAGATCTATTCAACGGCATCTCCTGCTACTCTCTCTAGCCTTAACCCCATTCATCACCAAGGATTACGTTTATGCCTTGGTGCTTTTCGCTCTTCCCCTGTCGAGAGCCTCTATGCAGAAGCGAATGTTCCATCCTTATCTGATCACCGTGATGCCCATTGCCTTCGCTACTATGTACGCTCTCATGATCTCCGCAATCCTTCCATTTATAGAATGGTCATGATATTAGTATGACATTCTTTATTTGTTCGCCGCCCCTGTTTACTCCGTCCCTTCTCTCTTCGCCTTCATTCGCTCTTGTCTTCTCTTCAATTACCACCTTTCTATGTACATGTAGCATCTCACTTTTCCCTACCCCCCTGGGAAGTTCCAGCTGTTCGAGTCTGTTCTTTGTCTCTCCCTTGCTCGAAAGCCCAACTGTCGACGGTTGCTTCCCGCTCTCATTTTCTTGACCACTTTCACTCTCATTCTCATGCCATTGCTGTGTACACAGATGGCTCTAAGTCTTCTGACGGCGTAGGATTCGCAGCAGTGTTTCCGGACAGCGTCGTACAAGGGCATTTACTATCTTCGGCTAGTATTTTTACTGCTGAATTGTATGCCATCCTTACAGCACTTATCCGTATTGCATCTGTGCCTGTGTCATCATTTGTGGTTGTCTCAGACTCCCTTAGTGCTTTACAGGCTATACAGAAATTTGATACACCTCACCCCTTAGTCCTCCGTATCCAACTTTGGCTACGCCGCATCTTTACCAAGCATAAAGATATTGTTTTTTGTTGGGTCCCTGGTCATGTTGACGTACAGGGCAATGAACAGCAGACACTGCTGCGCGGTCGCAGTACATGACCTACCAGTTTCATGTAGAGGTATTCCATTTACGGACTATTTTGCTGCAATATCTTCCCAACTTCACACCCGTTGGCAACAACGTTGGTCTACTATGCTCGGCAACAAACTTCAATCTATTAAACCGAGTATGGGTTACTGGCCGTCTTCTTATCACCAGTGTCGAGGTTGGGAGACTACTCTCTCCCGTCTTCGCATTGGCCATACTCGTCTTACTCATGGATATCTCATGGAGAGGCGCCCTGCTCCTCTCTGTGAGAATTGCCAAGTTCCATTATCAGTCAGCCACATTCTGTTGGACTGCCCACTTTATCAACGAGCACGCAGATTTACCTCCGTCGTCGTCTTCGCTCTGCTGCTCTCTCTTTACCTTCCCTTCTCGCTGATGGACCCACCTTTCATCCAGACTCTCTCATTGACTTTTTGACAACAACTGACTTACTTCACAAATTCTGATACCTTCAGCCCTTTCTACTTCAATCTCTTGCTACCCCCTACCCCCGTACTATCCCCTGCCCCGCTGTTTTCTGTAACCTACTGATCATCCCTCCTCCCTTCTGCCATCCAATACCCTCGCTTCCTTCCCTACCCTGCAGCGCTGTATAGCCCTTGTGGCTTAGCGCTTCTTTTTTGATTATAATAATAATAATTTTGCTCAATTATTGAGAAATGTTTCAGTGGAGTGATTGGGATTCAGGCCTATGATCTTTGATTATTATCTAATCACTAAAGTTCACAGTAAGTGTCAGGGGCCCAAAACTGTTCAAACTGCCTCCCAGCATACATAAGGGGGATTTCCAATAGACCCCTGGTTGTCTTCTTGAAGGCACTGGACAGGCACCTGAAGTCAGTACCTGACCAGCTGCGCTGTGGTTCGTACATAAGCAGTAACAGCCTGGTTGATCAGACCCTGATCCACCACAAGGCTTAGTCTCAGACTGGGCCGCGGGGGCGTTGACCTCCGAAATCCTCTCCAGATATGCTGCAGAGTCATGTGGTTTACCCAACCAAAATTCTGTGCAGGTTGGTAATGGCCATTTATTAAGACCCAGTTATGGATTATGAAGAAACTATGACTCAACCAGTGATTAATTAGTTCGCAAAGTAACTTGTTAATGTGCTAAAAATTTGTAATGAATGAATTTAATGATTCAGTTAAGTGATCAGGATTCGAACCAGGAGTCTCAGTTTACCAGCCTATCCCCTTAAGCTGCTTCAGTAATCCATGTATGTCATAGAAGGCAACTAAAATGCCCAGAGAAAAAGGCTGGCGACCCCATTTTCTATATCAATTACTAGAAAAATATAATCGAATTTTGGAGCTGGGTTATTGCAATGTGCGTGGATGTAGTACAGACATTAAGAAAGGACTCATCCGTATCACAAATGAATGTCCCAGAGCTGGGCTAATTAGAGAAGAATAAAAAGGATAGTCAGGTGTTTCAGAGAGAATTTGTACAGTAACTTAACATTTAAATATAATTTAGAATTAGAAATTTAACATTAATTTTAATAATTAATGAAGGGTAGAGTATTTCCATCATGAGATGACACCATGTCTTGATAGACCATTCTTCTACCAAATTTATATGTTCAGTATAACTGATTATTGTATAACATTCTGTAATCTTTATCCCTCTCAGCTGTTATTCCATAAAACATGGGTATGTTCTAAATTCTGCTAAACAAGTAACTTGATGCAAATAATTTAGAAATTTCAATAACAGTCTGCAAATAAAAATAATTTAACTTGACTAAAGCTTGCTTATTTCTTATAAATTTGAAGACTTTAAATTACTGAATTTACTATCATTTAATTGTCTGAAAAGACAGTAATTGAGCAAATGATAGTGAATATTTGTTCTTTGACTTGATCACAGAGTACAACTATATTTTTGCTTTAGTGCAAAATGTAACCATAGAAAAAAACTGAACTGTGACCAACCACTTGATAACTACAATATGATTATTAAGCCACCATTTGAAATTATTTAGTATCTAAGTATGTGGAATTGTTAAAACTGTACAAGCTTATGGAATTAGATGACTAAACTTCAGATGTTCTTTAACCCTTAAACTGTCCAAACATAGATCTAGATTTTCATGCGTAGTGCTCCGACCTTGATTTTCCCCATAAGAAAGAATGTAAAATAACATAGATCCACGTTTGGACAGTTTAACCTGTAAACGGTCCAAGCAGATCTACGTTCACATGTGTAGTTCTACAAAAGTAGATCTAAGTTTTTTTACATATTTTCAAATATAACAAAAAAAAAGTAGATCAAAGTTTTTTTACACATTTTCAAATGTAGAAAAACAAAAAGAAGATCTACTTTTTTTACATACTTTCAAATGTTGAAAAAACGTATATATACGTTTGGACCGTTTACGGGTTAAGGGTTAAAGTGGTCTCGTGTACTAGAAAAATGTTTAAAATGTATGAATAAAAGTCATCGTGAGTGGCCCTTTCAAGAAAGTGGTAGTTTGCTAGGAAATGAGTAATCAAAAGTACAGTATACTGTAGACAAGTTATATATCTTGCAATATTAGATTTTCAGCACAGTGCAATGACATATACTGTACAGTGGAACCTCAAAATTCAAACGTAACACATATCGAACGCTTCAAAAATAGAACCCTTTTTTTCGAACCAACTTTGTCCCTATTATTAAATGCGCCCCTATTTTCGGACTGCTGGGTACCGGACCTGTCCACCAGCCCACTCTGTCCGCGTCCCCACGCAGGCACCGTGAGCCAGTCTGGCTTTGTTTATGCTTGAGCGAACAGTAACCTGCGCTCTCATTCAAACATTTTACGATTATTTCATTGTGTTTAGTGCTTGTGGGACTGTGAAATAAGCTACCATGGGCCCAAAGAAACTTGCTAGTGGCACCCCTGTGGTAAAGAAAGTGAGAAAATTAATAGATGTGAAGAAGGAAATAATACAGAAGTACTGTATAAGAGTGGTGTGAGACTTGAGCTTGCCAGGATGTACAGAGGACTGTGGACAATTATTTTGTGAGACAGAAGCAGAGGACTGTAGACAGTTATTTTGTGAGACAGGGGTCCAGTGACTCTCAAGCTGGTCATAGTGGCATTAAAAGACAGAAGAGAAGTAACCCAGAGAGGACTTAGATACCTGAAGTCCTCATGAAGGGAGATTCTCCTTCCAAACACTAACCCCAACTCCCTCTCTCTTCCTCCCTATCTTCCAGATGCCATCACCAATCTTCAATAAAGGTAAGGAAAAATGTTTTTTATTTATATACATAATTGAGCACTATAGTATTTGTTGTGTGTATGTAAAACTGTAATTAATCTCTAAAAAGTTTTTTTTTTTTTTTTGTGAATATTTTTGGGTTTCTGAAACGGATTAATTGTATTTCCATTATTTCTTATGGGAAATATTGCTTCGATTTTCAGATTTTTCGAATTTAGAACTAGCTCCTGGAACAGATTAAGTTCGAAATTTGAGGTTCTACTGTATTACATACAAAATATAATTTTGTGTAAAGTTTATCTAACTCCAGTCTTACATTTCTATTTTAATTATTTCTTTCAGGTATTCAGCAGAAGCTTTTCTTCTTCCATGAGTTAAGTCCTGGTAGTTGTTTCTTCACCCATCGCGGAGCATACATTTACAATACGTTGATTGATTTTATCCGTGGTGAATACTGCAAACGAGGTTTCCAAGAGGTTGTGACTCCAAATGTTTATAATACCAAATTGTGGGAAACTTCTGGTCACTGGCAACATTATGCTGAAAATATGTTTGCTTTTGAAGTAGAAAAGGAAAAGTATGCCCTGAAACCTATGAATTGTCCTGGGCATTGCTTAATGTTTGGATATACCAGTCGGTCATGGCGAGAATTGCCTCTTCGTATGGCAGACTTTGGTGTACTCCACCGTAATGAACTTTCTGGAGCCCTCAGTGGTTTGACTCGAGTACGAAGATTCCAGCAGGATGATGCACACATCTTCTGTACTCCTGAGATGATTCAGAATGAAATTAAGGGATGCCTTGAATTTTTGTCAGCTGTTTATAACATTTTTGGATTTGACTTTGTACTTAAATTGTCCACCCGTCCAGAGAAATTCTTGGGAGATATTGCATTTTGGAATGATGCAGAAGAGCAGCTTAAAAACTCCCTTAATGACTTTGGTAAGGAGTGGAAACTTAACCCTGGTGATGGTGCCTTTTATGGTCCAAAAATTGACATCGTTGTTACAGATGCTTTAAGACGGCAACATCAGTGTGCTACCATTCAGCTTGATTTCCAGCTTCCAATTCGTTTTGACTTGCAATATGTGTCAGAGACTGGAGAAAAGAAGCGTCCTGTAATCATTCACCGTGCTGTTTTAGGTTCTGTGGAGCGAATGATTGCCATCCTAACTGAGTCTTATGGGGGAAAATGGCCATTTTGGTTATCCCCTCGCCAGTGCATGGTTATACCTGTGGCTCCACCCTTCGATGATTATGCAAAGAATGTTTCTAAGCAGCTTCATGATGCTGGGTTCCAGGCAGACTATGACACTGATCCTGGTGACACCATGAATAAAAAAATAAGAAATGCACAGCTTGAGCAGTACAATTTCATTTTTGTGGTTGGAGAAAAAGAGAAGACCAACAATACTCTCAACGTGCGTACTCGTGACAACAAGGTACATGGTGAGCACAGTATTCCAGATGTCATACAAAAGTTGTCTGTTCTTAAAGCTGACCGTGTAAAAAACTGGGAAGATTCATTTTGATATGAGTTAAAGTACTTAATATAATACTTCATATGCGGTAAGTGCTATTAATTATTGATTAATTATTGGTTTGACCTAATTTTTTAGTTAATGCATTCCATCTGATGAAGTATTTTGTTTTCAACCCATGGTAATTATTGCAGTACATTCGTCCCTACAAATTCTTAGGGGTCACATTCGTAGAGGTCCGGTGAAATAAAAAAACCACAAGTAATACAAAATTAACCCTGTATATGTACTTTTTTCTCTCCTAAAGTTTCAGGCATTTTAGTCACCTACGACAAGCATGGCTTGTGGAGGAAAAATTTTTTTTCCACTCCTCATGGAGTGTTATATACTTACAATTAAAAAATATTCTTGCATTCTTAATTGATATCCAGGATATTCATTAACCTAATAATATCTGAGAACATGTCCAGATGATCAAATGATTGCACTAGGGCTGATGCTGCTTCACTATACGATCCTTAATTCCATTCAATTTATTTCACATCTTTTGTAAGAAGGATAAAAAGAGGAGGGAAATTTACATTTATAAATCCAAGATCCTCATCTTTTTAGACAGATTTGAGTCATGTACATGTTTTACTACTGTTTCATTCTAAGGTAATTATCAGTTTATGAAATATTAACCTTAAAATTACTGTACTGAATCTAGTTCAGAATTGAAAGTGTTCACTGAAAATGCTCTGAGAAAAGAATTTAAACACACACACACAAAAAAAAAATATAGCCTTTTGTTTTTGTAAGTCCTTCATGATCAAGGAGAGAAGAACTTTTCTTTCTACTTGCCTGTGAGACCATATCTAATAGAGCACTCTAATCTGGTTAATACTAGTACATATTTGATATGAAAAGTAAGGACCTGAGTGACAGTTTTGGGCATGAGAAATTATATCAAACCAGAAAACCTGTTGAATTATTAAAATCTGTTTGCAAATTGCCATCAATAAAAACTAGATAGTAGAAACCTGTAAATAAGGAAGCTCTTGATTTGTGAGACATCTGTACATACCACTATTTAATGACTCCTGATAATTTTTAATGTAATATAAAATGGTAATTTTGCTTTATTTAATATTTAATAAATAATGATATTCTATGTTTTGCACATGATTTTCTCCTTGGGGGAATAAAAACTGAAGTGAGGTTTAGAAAAGGGGGATAGTGTCACTGACGCATTTTATTTATCGGCAAACAAAATACAGTGGACCCCGGTTAACGATTTTTTTTTAAACTCCAGAAGTTGTTCAGGTGCAGTACTGCCCGAATTTGTTCCCATAAGAAATATTGTGAAGTAGATTAGTCCATTTCAGACCCCCAAACATACCGTACAAACGCACTTACATAAATACACTTCATAATTGGTCACATTTGGAAAGGGAATCGTTATGCGGGGGTCCACTGTATATCGATGAAATAACTTAATCCTTAACTACTGTGCTCATTTTAGAATGTTGGTGGTTATTACCTTCATTATGGAACTGCCAAGATAAACCATTGTCTCCCTTCACTTTTATGCACAAGAGAGTTAACAGTTAGGGGAAATTGATACTGTACCTTTGTCATCCAGTTGTTGCTGTGTCACATTTCAGAAGACACAGAGGTCATCTTTTACTGGTTTGGCCATTCTGTTTCTCAGGGTAATGAGCTGCCACACTGCTTTGCATATTCTGCAGTTAAGGACCTTACAGTTGCCACAGGGAGTTGCTCTTTTCTATCATTTTCCACTACTGAATCAATACTTTTCAAGATGGCTAATAGTGGAGCACTGACATGTTAGTTAAAGTAGTGGGAAATTTGCCAAGTGCTGTTGCAAAAATTGTCAGGATCAGCTAACAGTGTAAAGTATTTGGTAGTTTTTATTATAAAAAGAGCACACATTATTTGAAAGCCCCACACTGGTTTAGCACTTCATAAATGCAATAAAAGAACAATATCACCTTTTTATACCTAGACACATCTTTGACTTCTTAAGTTGGGGTTCATAACAGCAAGGTGACCCAAGTGGTGTTGCTAAGCATTTTTTGAGGTGAAACCAAAATTTCTTCGCTGGTAATAATAAAAAAATCTTATGGCTTAGACCAACTTTTTTTTGGGGGGATGCAGCTGTGTGTGACTCGAACACTTTATGACCTGCATGGGTCTGGTGCATTTTGCGATAATCTGTAAGACCATTGTGGGTTAGTGCTTTATCAGTGTTAGGGATGGGAATGAAAATGAAAAATATATGCAACATTTGATATGGGAATGCTTGAAGAAAATGTTGAAGTATGAAAACATTATTAAAAAAGTAAATGAGACCAAAGTTCATTATAAGTTTTATTGAGCCACTTTCAATACATTTTAATGAAAATTTTAACATGCCTTTCATTTATGAAGTATGAAAAGACTGCATGGTAGGTATTTTAAATATACAGTAATTTCCCTAATTTATCAGGAAAAGGGTTTTTGCTGAAGGGCTCGTGATCCTAGGAATTGGACCTGACCTTTTCTTGGATGGATTTAGCACATTGTTGGAATATACTGTACAGTAATAATGTCCCCTTCTTTGGACTGATCTGGTTGCCTCTGTATGACCCTTAAGAGTTCATATAATTTAAATATTAGAAAAAGGCCAAATTCTTTTAGAAATTTTAATCCTGAGCCAAACATTTCTAAATGTCAAAGGAAACATTTATGACAAGGAAAATGTTTTCTTCAACAATAATTTTTTTTTCTAAAATAAAAATAACAGCTGGGCTGTAATATATGAAAATATAAGAAAAAATCTGCCTAGTTATCCACTATAATCTCAGGTTTTATTGTTATTATTATTATAATAAAAAAGAAGCGCTAAGCCACAAGGGCTATACAGCAGGTTTTATTGTTATTTTCTTCAATTTTATTATATTTTGACATATACAGTTACTATAGCTCCCTTAATTTTCTAGTTTTATTAAATACCTATCATATATAAAGTGTTTCATTTTCAAATTGGGGCACAATAACCTATGTGAAGCTGAAAGGGGTCATCACATATAAAAGTTTGGTAGTCACTGTCTAAAATGAAAATGACATGAAAATAGATGGTGTAAGTAAACTGATAGTCCCTTCAAGGGAGGTTCCTTGAGGCCAGTGAGACTCCTCATGTAAGGAATTGGTCTTTCCCTCCATTTGGAACAAACATGATTGCTGCCCATTTTTCCAGGGGCTATATGACCCCTATGGGTTTAGTGCTTCCCAAAATTTACAGTAATAATAATGAATGACAATTTGTATGTACTCAAATAGACATTAACTGCACTTTCTTAGGCATGTTTTTTCCTGTACAGCTATTTTTTTTAAGTCAATGATGAAAAACCTGTATAAGACGAACATCTGAAGGGTCCCATAACTCAGATTTGTCTTTGTGAAGCTGATTTGTAATAAACTTTTTCCTCATTAGTGCATGTACCTGACCTTCACACTTTACTGATACCAGCACCCCACTTCCATGTTTTGCTGTATTACCAACACGGGTATAATTTCTTCTTTTTAAAGAAGAAAAAAAATATGCATAACTGTCGGGGGCTTCCTCTCCTAAAAACCTTTTCAAGGGGGGTTTCCTTGGCGTGGGGGAAGGGGCTCTTGGCCCGGGGAAATTAGACCTGCGGTCTTCCCCCTCACACCAAACCTAATTCCCCCCCCAATCTCCCCCCCCCATCCCATCTCCCCTTTTTTCCTTTCCCCCCCCCTTCCTCCTCCCCCCCCTCCCTTTTCCCCTTCCCCCTTTTTGGGCCCCTTTGGGTTTTCCCCCAGGCGCACAAAGTTCCTATTTTGGGGGAAAAGGATACCGGGGTTTCCATCCCTTCTTTGAGGTTCTTGGCGAGGGGCGTAGTTTTTGCCTTTGGAATCGGGGATGGGCCTTTGGGGATGTCCCGACCCCTCTCCGGTACCCCGGGAAGTAGCTTTGGGTGTCTTTGGGGGCGACGGGTTTATCTCTGGAAGCCACCTTTGGGATTCCGGGGGTGGTGGCCAAAGGGGGAGTAGGTTTTTGTGGTGGATATCCGGCCGCCCTCTCTTTTTCCACTGAGGTAGCTGGGCGATGTGAGGTTGCTATCCCGGATTGCGGGTTTTCCCGGGCGGGAAGGGTAGGGTATGCACCGGGTTCCATGCTGAAAAATCTGCGCTACAAGCGGGGGCGGGCCTCTTGGGCGCGGGGGGAGTTTTTCCCGGGCCCCTTTCTTTTCCCCCGGGGAAAACTATTCCTCCCCCTCCCCCCCCCCTTTTTTTTTCTTTTTTTTTTTTTTTATTTTCTTTTCTTTTTTTTTTTTTTAAAAAACCAAAAACAAAGGGGGTAACCAAACCCAATGGAAAACCCCCAACCCCTGAACCCACTCCCCCCCGGGCCCCCTTCTTGTCCCGCACCCCATTCTGACCCTGCTTTTTTTTTTGCCCCACTCTTGGGGACCCTCCTGTTTGCCCTTGTCCCTTTTGGGCGGGTTTGCTTTTTTCCCTCACCCCTTCAGGTACTGGGGCCCTTCGACTGATCCTTCGTTTTATCTGAACTGCTTCCTTTGACTTTTGTTTGGGCTTCCCCCTCTACAGAAACGGAAAATTTTTGAATCGCCCGCCTATTTCACCCCGGACCAACCCCGGCCCCTACCCCTAAACCCAAGCCCAATTTCCTCCTGATTTGTTTCCTTGGGTTCCCTTTCCCATTCTACTGGGAAAAAGACCGACACGCATGCACTCCCTTCCACGTTTCAGTTTCCAACCAAATAAGGGAAAAACAAAATTCTTTACTTTAAGACCCGTTTTTCTTCTCCCTACCTTTCTGACCATGGGTTTTGGGAAACCCGCTCCTGCGTCAGGGTTGGTAGAGTTTTTTCCTTTTTCATGCTCTCAAGAGCGGTACGCCCCATGGGTAAAGGCCCAGAATGCTACCCAAGCCATAAATCTTTCTCTCCTTTTGCTATAATACTACTCCTATCCTATTGAAAAACATCTTTTTCTCTCAATTCTTGTAGTGGCTGTCATTTGCCCCCTTTACCATAGTCCAACAGAATTTCCATTTTAATTTGGAAATTGACATTCTTGAACAGGCTGGAACTCCAGGTTTCCCCCCAATCCTCAAAAGTAGAACATTTTACCCCTTTCCTGCCCGTGGGCGGAGACGTTTTACCCTTGCAATATGGGCTCGTTTCCCCTTTTGACGCCGAGAACTCCCGCCTCTTTTAAAAGGTCGTGGGGAATGGGTTACAAGTTCAA